GGGGGGGGGGGTGGGTTGTGAAGAGGGGACTTACATTAACATTTACGTATACAAAAATTCTTCCTATTTTAAATATTTACACAGGAAAATTAGGTATCCCTGGTGATTGATCAGTTTCAAATGATCACATGTAATGCTGTAACAATCGATCTTCTTTGCTGTCTGCAGGTTGTGCTGAGAATGGTTACAGATTCCTATGAAATCCCATTCCACAAAACCACTTAGCTGACTGGGCTGACTGTGCAGCCATTTGGGGACTATTACAATCAGTGCACAAGTGCTCAGATTTGGTCCCAGCAGCCACAGCAATAAACCCGTATTCCCTGCCGACAGACCTGCCATTACCCACACTGTGATTGCTGGTGTACTGCATGGGGTAAGAGAGATCAAAAGGTTGTTGCAGGGGCAGAGGGATCTGCCTGAGGAAGGACTAAAGAGTGGTTGTCCTAATGGAAGCTTGAAGTGCTCGAAGTGGCCTGTTCTCCTGTTTAGCAATATTACAGGAGTTACTTCAGACTCTCTTTGAAGCACTAGTCTTGCAACAGAAAATGTAACATAAATCATAATGCAATCACAGAACAATGTGTTCACCCCAGCTGCCAAGTACAGAAGGGAGGAAAATATTCAGGAAAGATCTGACACAGACAGAGAGCTCAGGGAAGGAGGGAGAGAAAGGGAGCGAGGGCCTGGCCTGAGAAGACCTTTTGAAGCCCTAGATCCTGCAAACCTATCAGGCACTGAATGTCTTGAGCATCTCAATCTTCCTCTGAAGCAAGGAAGAAGAGGAACCCACAAAAGCCTACTACAGGACATTGGTATTTCTAGGTACTTGCAAATACTTTAGGGATATGCTGGCTGGGAGGGCAAGGAGCCAAGTAGACTGTATCAATCTTGCTTGTTGTGTAAACAAGAGGCTCATGCACTGTCGGTGCTGCAGTTGCTGTGCTGGTGGAGCACGATGAGAACGGCTGAGAAGCCACCAGGAGCAGAGGACAGGAAGAGGTGGTGCTGCTGAAGACCAAAAAAGCATCGGAGCAGCATGAGGGCTGTCACTTCTTAATGCTAATATTCTCAGGTCTCTGGAGCACACACTCCCCCCTAGCAAGGCTAGTCAACAACTAATAGCCTTTTTCTTCCACATGTGAGGAATAGTTGCAGAATGGTCTGTGGGCTAACTCAACAGTGTTTTTCTCATCATGTGGAAGGGTTTAGACAGCAAATAGAATTAAAACCTGAAGTATTCTGGCTACAAAAATGTACTGGTGTAAGTTTTACCATCCGTGAGCAACAGGATGCAGACTGTACAAACTCAGAAACCTGCAGACAGTTATGTTACCATTATTTTATATTTTATGTGCATATATATATATACACATACATATATATGCACACACATTTCACAGTATTTTGTGTACACATATGTACATATATGTATGCATACCTACATGTACAAATGCATACAGCTGGTTTTCATATCACTTCTGCTTCCTAGCTGCATGAAAGGCGATGAGTACAGTGGCTACTCCAGCTTAAGGAGGTGATCTTCTCTTTTTTAGTTTTAATTTTACTCTTTATCATTTAGACTGTAATTTTGTTATCAAGAACTTATTTGTCACAGCTGCCAGACCAGTTTAAAAGATAAAACTTGAACAAGCCACAAAGCAAAGTTCAGAAAAAGAGTATTTTTAAAAGTTTTTTTCTGCTAATTTACCTAAGTTTATTTCCCAGAACAATTTTTTTGTACATCAGTATTATTCATAGGTAGTTTCCAGAGCAGCCAGGATGGGCAATCAGGAGCACATGGGCAGTGCACTACCATTACAGATTCAATATGACCTTTCCCATTTCCTCTCTGCCCAAAAAGGCTGTTGTCACTCCACAAAAAGAAAAATCTGGCCACACATACTGATTGCCAATCAGATTTTCCATGGCCACCTCCTCTCTCCTACTACAATGGAGCAGCATGGAAATATTTAAATTGACGTAAAGACAGATGTTGTGGATCCTGAAGTGGGTGCTTGGTTGAAGCTGAAGTAGACTTCAGCTCATTTCATGAAACCCTCTCTTTTTTACTAGTTGAACCCAAATTTTTCCCTTTTAGTGGCACGGAGGTAACTTTCTTTTTCTAGACTGATACATCAGGCTTGGCCTGGTATCTTCACTGCTATTGAACAAAGTCCATGCCCAAACCAAGAGTAGATTTTTCCCTTTAATGCAAGCCTCTTTACCACATTTTGAGTGTATTTTGTGCACAAGCAGAGCACTAAAAACATCATAAAAAAAGATTTGCAGCAGGAAAACCCTGGAAAATAAAATATTAGCCCTGTATTGCTCCTGTCCAACTCGTACCAACCTCTTTGAGTTGTTGCACATTTGAAGTGCCTCCAAATACAAGACAGAATTTCAGGAAAATTTTATTGCCCTTCATGGTCATTTCCCAGACTCCCTGGTTCTTTATTTCTGAGACAGAAGGCACCCCCAGAAGTTCAAGATGAGTTAAATCAATTAACTTCTGTGAGGTGATTTGCAGTTGCTGGATTGATGGCTCTGTGTAAATGTAAAGCAAATTCATGTCTTATTCCAGTACTCTTTCCAGGGTATGATGAGGACTAACTACAGTTTCTTTTCCACTTCCAGAAAGAAGACCAAATGCACACTGCACCAAAGACATTTCCAAAGCCTTTGATAAAACACTCACTCTTCAGCTGGTAAACTGCTAGGAGACAGCTCCATGAGCATCCTTCCTATGCCTCCCCCACATTCCACATTCCAGTCTGAAGGGTGACCTGATGTCAAACAAAGCCCTGCCAGAAAACACTAGATGCTCACCTTGACAATAGATGCCTGACTGGATTTGGAGGACCCTGGGAAGGGCTCTGAGGTCCAGAGAATGAATGAACTTCTCCAGGGTAGAGGCCATGGTCGGCAGCACTGTAGTACTGTAGTACGCTGTAGTACGTGGCACGTAAAGACCAGCGAAAAGCTCTCAAGGCAGCAGCACCCTCAGCCTGGTGCATGCTGTGCTCGGGAGCTCCGCAGCAGAGGGGAGGAGTGGCATGGGGAGGTACTTCTGCTTCCTTCCCTCCGTGGCTGCTTCCTCCCATGGGTGCAGCTGGAGTGGGGTGAGGCAGCTGGAGGCCCCCTCAGTGGTTCTGGCACCCACATCCACCAAGGGTCTGTGCCAGGCTGGGAGGTTGCTGTGGGTACTGGGCTCCAAAGGGGAAAGGAGGATCTGCTACAAAACTCCATTTCATCAGCAATAGTTATTGACCCTGTGGAAAGAAGATACTGAATATCAGCCCAGCCTAGAGTGGGAAAAAACCCACCATATCTGGGTGAGGTGTTGGGTTTTTTTTGGCTGGGTTTTTTTCCCTCTTGGAACACAACAAAATAGTTCGGTGTTCACTTCAAAACCATAGGTAGCCTTTGAAGAAAAGAAATGAAGCACTTTGGTGTCTTAAATATTTTATCTGGATTTAAGATATACAAATAGAATACAAATTGCTTCTTCCTCTAAACAAACATTTAAACACAATTCTGTTTTGCAAAATAGTCAACATTTTCTTATGCCACCAATGATTTGTAGGAATTTGATTTTGAGGTGCTTCAGCTGGGAGGGAATTCTGAGACAGTACCAGGTGAAAATCAGACTGTGCTGGTGACAAACCTCCAGCACTGATCCCAGCTCTACCATTCTGAGCTTGATCAAGCACTGTTGTTTCAGCAGGGCACTTCTGAAGAACAAGGCCATAGCAAATAAGCAGCAGACTCAGGTCATAAGGAAAACTGAAGTGACTGTGATTTCATGTTTTTTGACACTGCTCTCCTGTCTCCCTGAGGGGTCAAGGAAAGTAGAAACATGACATTGTGACAAAACAGTGAGCAACCAGTTATTTTCAAAAAGCTTGCTAGCTTCATTTCCTCTACATGTAATATTTTTCAAGAGACAATATTACTCACATAATAAAAATTTTACAATTAGAACTCAGATTCTTTGAGTGGAGGGACTGGCTGTTGAGGTGCTAGGCTACCTATAGAGTCTGAAAAATTTGTTAACTTGGTCTTAACAAATATTTCTCCTGAGAATGTTAAATATCTTATAAGTGGGGAGTCTCCAGGTGCAGAACTCACTATTGCCAGTTGTTAATGCTGCAGGTGCTACAGGGAAGAGGAGTAACTGGACTTGGGATTTTGGAGTCAGATTTACTAGTAAAACCCATACTAGAAAATATGCACAGCCAACAACTCATCAACTATTTTAATGCAATACATTACTTATTCTCCCATCCCAAGAAAACATACTTGAAATTACACAAATCTAATTGATTTGAGAGATTGCTGAGGAAAACACTTATATTCAGTGGTAATCAAAAGACCCATATGGTAAAAAGCTGGTTCTTACAAGCACAAAACAGTGAAAAGTGTGAGTGGTTTCAGTTATTTCAGTGGGACATCTTTGTATTTTTTAAGATTCTGTGTGCAGCTCTAGCAATTCAAAGCCAACTTTCTTGGTACATGCTCCCAAGGTTGTCAGGTGTTCTGCCAATGCCAGCAGCTGGGCTTTACCTGTACACATTGTTTTGATCAGTGAATAAAGAGCCCCTAAGGCCATTTCTGTAGTTCCCCAATTCACTTGTATTTGGCTCTTCACTTTGGTAAGACTGCCAGGAACAACAATACAAAAGAGCATTTAATATGAATGGCAAACACATACACAAATTAATAAATATTTTCAAAACTGCTTGAATCCAACAAAGCAAATGCACAAAAAGACATGGATTCCACACAAGAAAATCCAGAACAAAACCTGGTTTCTGTTGTTGAATCCAGCAGCCCAACAGCATGGAAAAGGCAGCTGCAAATTTGTGCTCCCATGGCCAACAAGCAGCATGTGTTTCCAATAGGCACAGACACACAGATGTATACAGCACCTATACACATAAATACACTGCCAGACACAAATCAACCTATATAAAACCTACAACCCCTGGTGGCCTCATCCTGCTCCCCTATTCTGGCTGATTGATGTATTAGTAGGAAATACACACTTATGTATTTATGCAGTGGGGATCTCTCTAGCAGCTGAACTTAGGCACAGTCTACCCAGTGGCCTCTTATCCTGCTGCCAGTGGGGCATGCAAGCAGCTCTGGAGGCCCAGAGCCTCTGTAATGTGCATGGGAATACCCTGGAAATACCTCTGGGGTTCCCCCAGCCACTGTTATTCCTCTGTGCTTTGTGTGTGTGTGCAGAAACCAGATTTTATCAACAACCTAACAAAACCAGCCATCTTAGCTGCAATGGAGGAACTAGAAATGCGCTTGTCTGAAATTGCAGTTTAAATCAGGAATGCTACCCGCTGGTCATATGCATATGTTGGAGTCCCTAGATCTGCTAATACACAGACTGGTAAATGAGAATCACTGGCCTGCTCTTCCAAATGCTCCACAGGAGATTTCCAGTTTGAGGTGTATGGCCAAGTGGAGAGGAAAATAATTTGCCATCTCCAAACCATCCCTGATCTAGGAATGAGAGATCATCAGATTGTCGTCATGGACTGATAGTAATAAGGGACCCTTTGGGGAGGTTTTCATATTGCAGACTGAATTTTTAGGAGGATCTTGACTAAGAAAAATTCCTTTTGTTTTGTCCAGTTTCAATATTGAAGATTTGTACAAGCTGCTGAAATAAATATATTCTGTACTGAGAAGAGGCAATATCTGACCCTGTTTCCCCATATGGAAAGAACAGAGATCACAAACCTCCCCTTACCCCTTCTTCAGTTCTAAGTTATGGCATTCTTCACAAAGAGCCTGTCAGGACCTGAGTGGTACCTCTGCCCTGTGTGAACCTGCAGGTACAATCAGCTTGACCACTCCATCTCCACCACCTGCCAGCCATGGGGTGAAGGTCAAGTTGCACAGCCAAACCCACAAAAGCCAAAGTGACTGTGAGTCCTCATGCAGCCATGGTGTTGGCAGCTCCAGCTGCTCTGGAAGGTGCACACAAATAGGGACACATATCTACCCAAGTGGAAAAGCCCTGCTTATTCCCCAAGAGGGTGGCCAAGAACCAGCTCTAGGGGAATGGGACTGTAAAATAGCAGTCAGCTAATTCAGAAAGATAGACACATAGACAAAACACAGAACTTTGAAAATTATATCCAGGAATATTTTTCTACCTTGCTGATAGGCTTAATTATTGTTTTTCAGAAAGGCAGTAAAATGTTCCAAGTTTCCAATGAAAATAAGTTCTAAACCTGTGAAGGTTTGTAATATTTTTTGAGCTCAGACCATTTGTTAGATAAATGTGGCCATTAGTTGAGCTGGTTGAAAAGAGACTTTAAAACAATCCTGTAAATATGAAACTAGGCATTATGTCTACAGGAATATATGCACCATTTTTTGAACTTAAAAACATAAGAAAAATGTATTTGATATAGCTGGCAGAACAGTAATTCCAAAGAGGAAAATGCTTTAGGAAACTCAGAACAGATAGGACCTGGGAGACAGGTGTGAGTGAGGCTCATATGGAATGGTTACACTATCTTTTGAATCAAATTCAGGATACTGCAGGAAGTTCAATACACTTGCATATTTTTTTTTCCAGTGTAAGGTTGTCATGGTTTAGGAATTATATTCTCCAATTTAGTACTTCCACTAAAAAAAGCACGTGATGCTTCTTCTCCCCTCCAATTGGAAGCACAAAAGGCAAAGTTCACAGGCTGAGGAAAGAACAATAAGTATATTGTTTAACAATAAGTATATTGTTTAACAATAAGTATATTGAAAGAACAATAAGTATATTAGAAACAGCAATGATATAAAATGAACAGTAAGGACAGCAAAATTAATAATAAAAGAACACAAAAGAGAGAGTGATTCACATGTAAAAATTCTCACCACAGAGCATTCGACAATAAACAATACCAAATGGCCCCCCTGCCATGATTTTTTTGACCAGAAGGAACCCCTTCTCCTTGGAAGCAGAGGTCCATTTTCCCCTCCCCTGGCAATGATGTGAGGTGATATAGAATAACCTCAGTGTTCTAGCCATGGCCCTTACTGGCTGCTGTAAAAAAATGAACCCTGTCCTGGCCGAAACCAGGAAACGGTGAAACTCCACCTCCCATTAAAAATAGTCAGACTAAACTGTAAGGAATCCTCCCTTGACACAGGTGCACTGAGCTGTGAAATAATCTCCCAAGGGAACACTGGACTCCTGGAATGTTTAAGCCTTGACTAAATAAAGGACTCTATGACACCATCAAGAACAATTCTGATAAAGAGAGGGAGTGAGGTCGTCTATTCCTATGGGTAGTTAGCTATATTTCTACCCTTCATTTATAGGAATCTACTGTCTCAATACCTAAGTCAGGTGAACAGTATTATATTTAATTGTTCCAGAGGTGAACTGAGCATTAAAAGAAGCTGCAGAGACTTTCAGGAGCTATGGTATTCCTTTGCTAACCCACACTGGTTCTGGTAATACCAGCTGGGTTTCATACAACCCATTCAAGAAGCACAACACTGACCTGACAGACGTGCCCTTCCAATGGCCCTTGTGATGTAGAATGATGGTTTCAGCTTGAATAAACTATCCCCAGCATGAGGAAAAAAACTCTCATCCCTACAATGGCACACATGGATTGTTCACAGAGAGACAGAGGCTGAATTGGCTGAAGCATGAACTGTTGTAACATGAGTTACAACATGATGGGTGGGTCTTTGTGTAAAAATTTTTTCTTCAGTAGGTATAGATGATAGGATTTATTGACCAGTAAAGCCAATGGTGATCAGCTTATAAGCACTGAAATCATTCTATCCAAAGAAACCTAACTTTTTTAGCCTAATATTTAGGCTTCTTATCCTCCAGTACCTGCAACAATTGCTTCTAAGTTTACCTGAAAATAGAAAGCACTCATTGCTTAGAATATTTCATTGACCCCAGAAAGCTGTTTTGGGGTTTTTTTTCTTTTTTTTTTAACATTTTTTCTTCCATGGACAGCTGCTGCTCACACACCCTTTAGGATGAGTGAATTTGTGTAGAGGACTTTTCAAACCTGCAGACAGAGGCAGATCTCGCTGGAAATTAAACTTAAGAGCTATGTTAAAAAGCAAGGATCATTGCCCACAGAATTTTATATTACATCACCATCAGTTGAAGTCCACAGATAGAGATAAAATTTGCCTTTCTAAAAATAACATCTTGCTCTGCTCCAAGTTTTTGCACTTGGTATCAAAATGATTGTCTTGAAAATCTAATGCC